TCATTTGCTTCATTGAACACATACAACAATGCATATTTCCACTGAGATCAGTGACCTTTGATGTGTATCACCTGTGATCAGTCAAGTAGAAACAGTCAAAATATTTTATCAGATTTTCTCAATTTTTGCATGATATTTTCATACAGGACATCTGTTGTTCAAACTCAGGGAAGACTTTATACTGATGAATAAGGTGACCAAGTTTGATGACGTTTGGAATAGAATTAGTAAAGTTATTATGCACACAATAACAATTATTAACGACGACGACGACAACAACGACAGACAAAATTTTTCCCTTAGTATACCTTTCCCTTCCATCTTTGATGGTACGGGCAAGGTAAAAAGAAAATTGTTTACTTTGGTTTTTCTGTATCTGATTATCAATGAGCAGCAAACATTATACTTACTGTTTTTCATTTCACAGCTGGTGAACACAAACCTGGTATTTTAATCAGATCGGTATTTTTTATTTTTTTTTCAATACAAATAATACAAGTACAACCAAATATTATTATTGATTTTTATTTGAAACAACATTACACTGCATTTTATGGCACACAGTGATAATATACATGAAATTTATACAAATGAATTATTATGTATTGTGGCCATGATTCTCCAAGAGATAGTCTAGAATTTGGGGATAATTAGGCTTGAGAATTTTTTTAAAATTACTAATGAAGAGATATGCCATGTGAAACAAAATCAAATCTGCACATACATATTGATAATGGATTTTTCTTGAAATGTTTGAATTTTTTTTTTTATAGGAAATTATTAAATTGCTTCATTAATAAACGTACTGGTACTATTAATAGTGTCATAGTAATTGAGTCTATATTACTATCCAGCCAACCAAACCTTTAACAAGTTGCAAATCAAATCCATATTTTTTACAATTGCAACAAATATGTACTTTACAATGCATGTCAAAATTTCAATGATTTTCTGTGTTCCATGTCAGATTCTTGCTGATCACTCTCGCTATCTACATATATTGGATTGTTTGCAAACGTTTTTAATAATGATCTAGAGCAAGCACATTCCCAAAGGTGTGCACCCTGCAATTATTCCCACATGGGCAAAACCGGAAAACCCTAAAATATTTTCCACGATTCGTACATATCCAAAGAATTCTAATTGAAGCTCTGAATGATCTTGAAACGCAACATATGAAGTCAGGTACACATAAAACTGGACATAGATATAAAATGCACTCATCAACAATCTTTGATTCCATTGTATAATAAAATAATTTATATAGAGTATTTTTTTCATAAAAATGCACCTTCAGTGAAATCGCATTGTATGATAGTTTTTTGTGACTGTTGCGAGAAACGTATACAACCATCTTTGATTTATTTTAATCATAAAAGTGCTCCCTAAGTAATTCCGTATTATAATTGTCTTGCCAAATTTTGAGTATGGCTACATGGATATGTTCATTTTTGAACTAAATATAAATCTAGAGTTAACGCAAAAAGCAACATGGGAAGAATCAGCAGAGTTTGTCAATAATATATAAGAATGCAAGTAAATATTTTAGATTAGTGAAACAACCAGTGTGCATACATGTATGTTCCCCTGTACATTTACACTGTATATATATCTCTAAAATCAGTCCATGCAAAAAAGATATAGCCAGACATTGGTGATCTTATTGGAGACATTAAAAATTGATTCAAAATTTAAGATTAGCATTTCAAACAAGAAGCATAAGCCAACTAATATTTGTCTGCTATTTGGGATGCACAACGTGAAAACAATGATTTACATTATTGAAGTTCATAATAGTTACAGAACATAAATATGATTGTGCATCTGTGATTTTCAGTCTAATTTAATTATGCCAGAGCAAGTTCAATTTAAATTCGATTTTTTGAGATATCAAAAATTGGCTAATAATAATTAGATAATCAATATGTTTTTTCAATATTAAACTAATCATGTCTGTAGATTACCCCAATGAAACGAAATGTTCCGATTATGCACATTATGCAAATTAGACAATTATTATATATAATTTCAAACCAAAACTAATTGTGTATTTTTCCAAGGCACATATGTGCAAATGAGATAATTATGATGTATGTATATATAGTCCCAACACTAATTAGATCGTTGTCTTAGAGGATTTATGTACCAAGATTCATTGATATAACATAAGTATTTGAGATATAGAAGGAAAAGCTGAAACCTGACTAATTCTTATGCAAATAAGGTAATAATATAATATGCACAGATTTTAATGTAAAACTAAAAAGGTGTGCGCAATGACACAGACCATCTATGTATCAAATTTCCTTGAAATATGATTAGAACTTGAGATATCAATGAGAAAAGCTAAAAATTAATTATGCAAATTAGGAAATTAATATGCACAGATTTTTACCCAAAACTAATAGTAATACTATGTAGTCCTAGAACATTTATGTACCAAGTTTCATTGAAATGTAAGTATCAGTACTTGAAATATCAGCGGGAAAGCCAAAAATTTACTAATTATGAAAATTAGGTAATTAATATGCACAGATATTAACCTGAAACTTATCAGGTCTGTGCATTGTCCTATGACATCTATTAAGAACATGAGATACAAGTAGAAATGCCAAAAATAGACTACCGTAATCATCAGACAAATTAAGTAATTAAAATACACAGATTAGCATCTATGTACCAAGTTTCATCAAAATTCAATAAGTGGTTCAATGGAACAGCTAAACATTAGCTAATTATCATGCAAATTAGGTAATTAATATGCATGGCTTTAAACCAAAATCTAAATAAATCGGCACATTAGCCCAGAGCATCTTAGTTTTATCAAAAAACATATGGTTCTTGAGATATCAGTGGAATAAATGGACACATACATACACACACACACACACACACACACACACTATTAACTGCAAAGACTCCGATTGTGTGCTTTGCACACGGCGGTCAAACAATAGCACACCAGTGGGTCATCTTTGATCACATTAAAAAACAAATTGATGCGACTTCAAATATGGCATTCGCGGACCAACAGAAGATGACCATAATTATCAACTAAATTCATTTTTGCATTAAGCATAAAGTACAAATTATGAATCAACTAAATCTACACTAAATCATATTTGGAAATATACCAGTTGATCTTTAAAAACATATCTAAAGAAATACAAGAAAGAAATTATACAAGAAGGAAATTTTACAATAAGGAAATTATACAAGAAGGAAATACTATAAAGAAATACAAGAAAGAAATACTATAAAGAAATATTATAAAGAAATACAAGAAAGTTAGGTATCAATCGTCTTTACCAGTAAATTCTGCATTTTCTTCTTCTTGAGCACAAAACTCATAAGCTCTGAATGCAGATGAGTCTGAGAAGAAATTAACAAATATTGTTGAAAAACTAAGCATTTGTAAACTTGTTCTGTTCAATTCCAAGAATATTTCGCTAGACAAATTATGATAATTATCGGTCATTTTAAATCATAAATTTTGTAGTACCGGTATTAGCATGTAGTTCTTGAGACAGAAAGCTGCATTATCTTTTGAACAATTTCATTCCTGTGAATCCTACTTATAAAAACTGCTTGTGGTAAAATATTATCAGTAAAGGGCAATCACTACATAATAGGATTATTTTATCCATGAAGATGTTCCATTCCGACAAACAAAAAAACAAAAAATGGCAACAAATATAAATATAAAGCCAATGTGGAATTGGAAAGAAAATAAACTTTCTTGAGATTTTTACAACAAATCAAGAAAAAGCCACAGCAAAACATTAAACACAGTTGATAGTTAGGGTTCAAATTGTCAATGTCCGTACATGTTGTCTTCATTTGAGCTGTTTTACACTTTGGATAGCATTTTATGTTTACATCTGCCAGTTGTAATTTTAATAGGATTTTGTAACCATGACAAACACTATTAGAATAAGTAAGTAATCTAAGGATAATCAATGGTCTTGGCCAACACACTTTTGAGAGAGCAATTTCCTAAACCTTTGCTCAATTAGTTTGAATTCTGAAGAAAAAAAATGAGGTACCTGAACTGGTTGTTGAATCATGAATCTCAATTCTATGCATTTAGTCCATTTTCTGATCTTAAATAGCTACCAAAATAGGGTTTACATCTAGAAAAACTACAATGTGCTCATTTCCATGGAATTCCAATGTTTATTTGACATTTGATAGAATTTTTCGCTCACAAGACCACATTTATGTTCATCATTAATGCCAACCTTTTCATTATTTGAACAATGTCACATCACAGCTGAAAAATATTATTAAAAGATGGATTAATATTTTCTGAAAGTAGTAATTAAGAAACATTTACCTCGGTCATAGTAATCATACACAGTTACTTGTCCAGGTTTGACATCCTCTACTTTAATATGTTGTTCAACAATAAAGTCAAAACAAAGTGTATCATGGGTAATCTGAAAAGTAGAAAAACAAACCAATTGGTCATTTCATAATGTTCTAAATTCTACTGTTCATGTATCTGATAAAGTCCACCCAATTTTGATAAAATCTGAAATAAGAGATGATAGAGAAAAGCTTTCAGATCCATAGAAGTAAAATAAAACCAGCATTTGTAGGATACAAAGATTCAGGCAAATACGAAAGACGGCATGTTTTTTTTTTTTCTTTTCTTTTCATAATATTTTTTGCATGTTTTTAACTAAACAACTTAACAGCATGAAGTGCACCACCAAGTCTGTATCTATTTGGAACTGAATTAGCCAAACAAAACACCTTAATGTAGAAGCCTAGTCATAATTCTGGACAAAATTGGTCATAAATCACATGACAATGTTCATTAGTTTATTATGTACAATGTACAATCATGACGCTAATGTCCCATGGTACAATGAAATAGCATTATTTTGTGTTACAGTTAAGCTTTTTGAGAAACGTCTCTTAATATTTCTTGAAAATTGCTATTTTTGGAACAATTCCATAAAACACGTTGTTAAAGAAAAATTGCATTCACAGTTTTTAAAACTTATGGAATGATGAGCCAAGAATTTAAATGATATTTTATCAATTGAGACGAGTACTTTTATTCGAATACATTTTTACTTTTAACTACTGAAATTGACAATCTCTGATTTGGTTCCATAAAACCCAGAGATTTTTTTTAAACAAGGGAACAAGGGCACAGCGCCCTCATGCCATGGTCATGCGCCCCTTACCCTGGGAAGCAGATCCTCGGGCAACCATAAAATTCTGATTGACCAGGGATCACATGTGGCCAGTCATCAACTGTGACATGTCTGATAGTAATTTTGGCCTAATTTTAACTTAGAATTATCTATCACAATACCTATCTTCCCCAATTGGTGGCGCCGCTGAATTGCAATGCTCTCTCTTGCATTTTTTTTCTAGAAAAAACCTCTGAAACCAAACAATGTTAAGAAGTACTATAATGCCTTATGTGTATAAACTAAGTTTGAATGAAATCCATGTATGCAAGTGTACATGCGCCAAAACTGGAGTTAAGAATGGCAGAAATAGTTTGGTGTATTTTTGTCACCAAAGTAGAAGCCAGTTATAATCAACCATCTTAGATTAGGTTGGTATGAAATCTGTACAGGTGAATCAGAGAAATGAAGAACGAATAAAGGAATGTCAGTCATTTCAGAGTTCATTTTCACACAAATAACATATACTCACCTCATCAAAATAAAAGATGACTTTCTTTCCATCTACTTCATATTTTGCCATAGAATCTGTTGACTTTTTAGCGTCTTTCAATGATGTCTTGCTGGGATAATATCCTGATACCATTTTCACTTCAATAATAGCCATATTAGACGACTCATCTTCTCCCAAATAACTAATTAAAAAATCACATCAGGGATGATTATAGTACAAGTCAAAGAGTATTTTATAAATAGTTTTTAAAGTGACCACACTATATCGAAGAAATCTGCGTTTCCTTAATTTTTTATGATTTCAAATAAAAAAAATTTTTATACATGTACTGGCACAATAGAACATGTGAAAGAGCAGCACAAAAAAGCAATTCAAATGATAACGAACTACTAAGCAAAAGTGGTAAGCAAAAAATTCAGTTACAATGGTTATTTCTTTAAGCTCATGAAAATTATACAGACCCATGCGCTAGCCCAATTAGCATAATTTATAAGATCAACAACAAACAACATGGCGGCCAAAATAAATCTGATTTTCCAACCCCGCGATGAAAACGAATGTTTTATTATTTTGCTTGAATATTTCATGTCGACAAGGTAAATAAAACATCTCTAATTTAATAAAACTGGTTCATTTTACGAGATACATGTAGCAGGAATTTGCTCTTCATGTGCGAGACAGTCCATGGAAGTGCTGCTGGCCGGCTGGGGACCGATAGTATACTACTGATCGAAAACAAGTTAGTTGTTCATTTGAGACTTTGAATAAAACTATTTTAATTTGTTGTTAAAATGTCGATGACATATTTCCAGTCTCCAGACGTTACATTCAGATGACATTCAACGCGACTTTTTCGCAACTTCACAAACCAAGTTGTGATGGACACTCCCGTCGATTAGCCCAAAAGATTGCGCACTCTGCGTAATCTGAACCTAGCATGTGGCCACTTTCCTGTTAGCGATTTGCAAGTAGCTATTCTCTTTTTGCTGAGACTGTCTAATGGAAATGTTGGTGATCCTTATGCAAAGGTTCAAGTGTGAATAGGTCTACAATAGGGTGGTCGCTAGTCCTGTTGGACCGATGGTCGCTATATCCAGTGTCCTTATCATGTAAATTGCGAAGGAACTACACAAAGGTGGACGCTATGAGCAGGTAGCCACTCTACACAGGTGATCGCTAACACAGGTTTGACTGTATAGTATATTTCACAGACTCTTGTTATATCTGCCAATCAAGCAAACACTACATGTACCTTGAGCATATAGTCAAAACTCTGTCTCCTCCAGCACACGTGTTTGCTTGTATTTGTGGAGAAGGATCATCTGACAAGATAGACAGTGGTGGGCCAACATCAACATCAATACTAAACTGAGGTGGCTCTGGAGATTCTGGGATATTGTACTTTACATTAGCCTGAGAAAAAGATGAGAATGAATACAACATTGGTGAAAATAAAGATCAGTTGAGAAAGCCAACTGTATGGTAAAGATACAGAATATAAAGTGATTTAACATATTTTACTTATTTGATCGTTCAGAATTTTTGAATTTGGATAGTTTTTAAAGTTTGGCTTCTTGTTCAAAGGAAGAATAAAGAAATAATGATGTGCTGGGTTTTTTTATCTTTAAGAAAAAGCAGCCAAGCCAGCATTATTGCAACAAGCAGCCTGTCGGCTGAGATAGCTCTGCTGTTAGCAATGCACATTTCAATTAAAGAACAGAAGATATCATTAGAAAATGAACAGTATGTAGACTTGCTGTTTTCAATCAATTGCCAATATATCTGTATATCTATGACATGATGTATAATGAATATTTAAAATAAGAACATAATCAGTCACAGCAAGTCAGAGAAATGGCACTAGAACCACATTTATTAAAACAAAATGACCACCAGTCAGCCATTTTGAATCTTATGTGAAAACAAAATGATGTGCATCAAGGTCCCATAATGTCCAACGTATATACCAAGTTTGAACAAAATCCATCTGTAAACAGCCGATAAATGCTCGATTTTGATGATTTTTAGAACAAAATTGGCCGCCATTCAGCCATCTTGAATCAGATCATGAAACAAATTGATGTGCATATGTATAATATCATGTATGTGTGAAGTTTGATTGTGATTGGTCCAGGCATTTCTAAGATACAGGTCCGAAGCACGCACAGAAACACGGAGGTCAAAACATAAGTCCCCGTTTTCAGACTGCGTCCAAACGGGGACTAAAAATTAGAGAACTAAAGGTATCATCACGAAATGAGCAAATGTGAGAGAGGTCCACATGTAGTACCTATATATATGTAACATCAAAGCAATTGGACTTTAACAAGAAGTCGAAAATATCACTTTTACCAAAAATATTCACCAAAATTAGAGAATTGAAAATATCATCATGAAATGAACAAATCTAAGAGAGGTCTAGCCAAGGTACATATACACCAAGTATCAAAGCATTCAGGCTTGTAGTTTGCAAGAAGAAGTCAAAAAAGTAAATCATTGACACGGACGACGACATACCATCACTCATACGATAAGCTCCGCTCGACAAAGTCGACAGCGGAGCTAAAAAGGTCACAAAGCAGCAATATTGATATCAGTTTGCCATTTAAACTATCAATATTGCTTAAACCCACAGAGCACACCAAGTGAGGTTGAGCAACACTTTTTTCCTCTCCCAACACACACTCATCCTCCCTCAATCTCCAAAATGATAGAATACTAAATACCTGAAGCAGTGCACATCCTCCTCCACCAACTGATACTGTTACATTATTTGGAAAATGAAGAACTTCTTCTCGGTTTAGAACTAATTTGTTGTCTTTGTTGATATAATGTCTTTCATTTAGGTCTAAAGCGACAAAATCAATGAACATATCAGTAGCACCTGTATATATCATTTCAGAATACTGTGCCAGCACTTGGAGAGCAAGGATAGTGTCCTGTAACAAAAATGATAAAAACTATCAAATTTCATTTTTAATATATACAGCGCAGGCAATTTTGTCATTTCCAAACCTGATTTGTAATTGTATTTAGAGAATATATATAATGTTTAAATTTTTCTGAAACAAGTGTGTTTGGAATGAAAGAATCAGGTAATTTAAAGTGGTGAACATTTCTCTGAATTCTTAATTTAACAAATGACTTTACACTGAAAAAAATTAATTCTTTAATTTTAAATTATAGTACATAATCTTATCAGTCTACGTTTCATTAACATGAAATTATGCAAAAGTGAAATTACAGTCTCCTTATTGTTCAGGTACAGCAAAGAGGAATAGGGT